TAAATAAATTCAACAACGCCCGTTAAAATATCCTTGCAAAAAAAAATAAAATAAAAAGACGTGACCAAATACATTTTTTCTATATAATACAATAATATCCTAAATCGAATCTTTTGTTATCATTCTATCTGCCATTGACCAAAAAACTTTAAATGACATTATATTGTACATTCATGATAAAAATAATAAAAAAAATAATAATAATAAAATATTTGTTTTATCAAACGCAATCACGCCCTTATTAAAATACAACCTGTTCTTCTTCTGGATCAATTTTTTTTTTTTTTAAAAAAAAAAAGATAGTGGAGAATATACATGATTTTTGTAAAGAATTTCTCTATAATAAACATGAATCTGTTCAATAGATGTAAAAATTACTCTCGATATTGATCTAATACGATTAATATTTCCAACTAGGATCTATTTTAACATCGTCAAACTTTGTTTTATAATAACCACTATGTCGACGATCAACACCCTCATCCTTTTCAGATTTTCTATTTCCTTTGCCTTTTTCTTTATCTCTAATAATTTCATTTTTATTTATACCGATTCCATTATCAGATGACCTGGATCTTGTCAATTTTGTCGAGGTCCCTGAACCCGAAGTTGTTCCTTCAGATAAATAACTTTCAATCTGTAACCATTGATGATTCAATGATTGTCTTGCCGAAGCCCTCTTGTCCGGATTTAAATCTAACATTGGTAATAGAAATGAGCTCATAAAATCTGCATCAGTTCGTGAAAGCCCATATTTGTCATGCAAAACATCAGCAAGTTTCCAAGGTCGAAGTTTATGAATATGTCTTAATTCCCCTTTGAAAAGTAAAATGGTGGGTTACATATTATTAATAATAAAAGAATATGAGAGAATGACCGTACCTTTACGATTGAAGATCTCGTTTGAATACTTTCCGCTTAAGGCTAAATTTTTTGGAAAAATACCCAAAAGCTCCATAATTTGAGCTATGTGGTCTAAAATAAATATAATAAGATGTAAATAAACTTAATTGTGAATAATAAGGATAAATAATAGATTGAACATTTACCATCGTCCTTATTGTACCGTGATCCTGCCTGTGGATCGAACAAATAATCACCCGTGTAAAGTTCAAAAATCTAATATTATCAATGAAAAAATAATCAATTTTTTTTATTAAAATAAAAGTAACAGCTTTATATGTCAATAGGATTGAACATACCATACATGCCATACTCCATATGTCTGCACTACTTCCCCATCGACTACCGAGAATGACTTCCGGACTTCTGTATTGTCTTGTCTGAATATCATTTGTGAAATGATGATCCACCCAACATGCATTGCCTAGATCAGCAATTTTGACAGTAATCGTATCCGGGGTAGTCCATTTCGTTGAAGTAGATGACTTTCGTGTTAGATTCGTTTGGACGCTGGAAGTAGTTACTATGGATGATGATGAATGATAATTCGGAGTAGATGAATCGACAAGAGAAATGTCATTAAGGTCGCGTTCCAATGTTTCCCTATAAAATAATTAGAAGATAAATAACCTTATTTTAACAAAATAATCACTTTCATTTGAAAGTCATCTCAACTTACGTTGTTACATCATCTGGACTACAAACGTTTTCGACCATTTCAATATCTTCTCCATTCTCTATATCCTTTTTTACGACCTCACAATCTATATCCATTCCAATTCCATTTGTCCCATTTCCTTTCGCGGCTTGTTTCTTCAATCTTTGCTTTAATTTTTTTTTCTGATTTTTAGACATACCTTGTGTTGGAGGTGGAGGTTGTTGCAATGCTATTAATGAATTTTGTACAGATGGTGACTTTGATGATGGTGATGAAAGAGGTTGACTTCCCGTAATACGTAATTGTTGTCCCTTTTTAGTAGTAGTTGTAGCCGGTGGTTTCCCGCGACATAAAAGTTCATTTCGGACAACCTCCTCTACATCATCGATGCATACCAGCACATTCTCCGGTTTTAAATCAGTATGGATAATTCCACATTCCCTATGCATATAATCTAGACCCATAAGAACTTGCTTTGTAATTTGTTTGACCAAATGTGATGGAATCCCTCGATGACTGTATCTTTTTATCAAACTCAACAAGTTTTCGCCCAATACTTCAAATACCATACACACATGTGTTCCATGGGGTCCCCTATGCTGAAAATGGTCTAAAAGTTCAACTACATGACGACGACCAGGAGCATCTGGATTTGCGTCAACGATCTTTTGCAATAATTTTATTTCATCTAAAGCTGTTTCAGTATAATGTGGGGCAGACTTAACAACTTTAAGTGCGACATGTCGATTGTGACTTTAAAAGATATCGTTAACAGTATTCAAAAAAAAAAAAAAAAAAAAAATATATATATATATATATATATATATAGATATATGCATATATATATAAAAAAAAATATTCAAAATAAATATTAATTTAAATTCAAAGTAAATAGTTAATAAACTTACTGATTGTCTTTTGCAAGCCAAACTGTGGAAAAGTGACCCCAACCTAACTTTCGGACAACCGTGTAACTTCCATCATTGAATATATCACCAACTTTAACGGGATGATAACCTCCTTTACAATAATCCTCAAAGTCTTCCTCATCTTCGGTCATTATTTTTTCGGATTCCTCTTCACCTACTGAACTAACGGAAGAGGTTGAGTAGTCTTCATTAATTGTTTGACGCTGTTGTGAAGCAAACGATTGAGGATAACTATATAAAATTTTAAAAAAAATTATGTTAATTATTCGAATGCTAATGTGAACCTTGAATTTTTTGTGTTCACGTTAATCGTTATCAACATTAAAAATATATATATATGTATGTATGTAAGTACACTTTATTCGAACCGTGAGAGGTAGTTGGAGATAGAACAGGGGACATTGGTGAGGTAATGCCAGGTCTATTTGGTGTACTTGGCATATTAGTTGAAGGTTTCACGCCAGGGTCAGTACGTCGTCGTCTCTTTTTTTGTGCAGTAACTTGCTTGGCTTTCAAAGTGGCGACTTGTCTACGTTTATCAGACATTTGATCACACACCGAAGCTCAATACAAAGTAAGTTACTCGAATCGGGACGTATAGTTGGCAATAGGCAGTTAATTAGAAGATTGAGTCAGTAGATGATGAATTTTCGATCTCATTTATTGATTGTGATATTCGAATTGTCCATAACCTGAGCCACAAACGTATTTGAATGGTTCCTTTGATCACACGTGATATAAATTGATTTATTTTTTTAAAAAAAAAAAAAAAAAAAAAAAAAAATCTATTCAGAAAATGTAAGAAATCGTGCAACATTGTTATTTCGTTTAAAATACCAAATAATAACCAATCTTCTTTCGTTATAACAAAAAAATAGGAACGCGACAAAATCAAGCTGGGCCGATGAAGTCGGCGAAGAATTTGGTAAAGTCCTGAATTCTTAAAAATTAGGTTCTTTGATCTAATCGAAATTAACCGCGTTGTATTGTATTAGATCTTCCAATTGAAACTTTTACCGACGAAAATGGTATCAAAACGATACTTGAATACAAAACAAACGATGACGGAAAAAAAGTGAAAGTATGTTGAAACGTTATTTGTTATCCTTAACAAATCGTGATTTTTTTCTAAGTTATTCTATTTAAAAGGTTACTAGAAAGATCAAGAAAACCTTGATTAAAGAATGTGTTAATAAAGCCGTTGCCGAGAGAAAGGTAATTTAACATAACCCTTAATAAGTCTTCAGCTTCATTTGTTCTTGACGTACTTTTTTAAATTGTATTTTTAGAAATGGGCCAAATTTGGTGACGAGCGAGGAAAGAAAGTTGGTCCCGATCTGAGTACAACCAGCATTGGAGAACAAATATTCTTAAAATTATCGTCCACCGGCAAAGTATGTATCGTAAGATTTTTTTATTGTTGTTATTTTTGATTTTTCAACAGCTTATTTAAATTTATATTCATTTAGCATTCGGAATTAGCCGAAGAAAGCGATATAAATAAGAGAAAGGCAGCTTTAGTAGGGAAGAAAATTCTTTGCCGTATATGTAAAAGTGACCATTTTACTATTCAATGTCCTTATAAAGATACCCTTCAACCTTTGGATGAACTGGGCAAAGAACTAGAGGCCAATAAGGAAACTGGTAAGCTTTGATTTGATTTGGAAAATTTGATCAAGTTCTGGTCCAAATCTTTTTTAATTTATTTTTTTTTATTTTTATTAGCTCCAGCTAGTGAGCCAATAACGGCCGAAGCTTCCACAGGAGGAAAATATATTCCTCCCAGTATGCGTGCTGGAGCTAAGCCGACAACTAGTGACTCATATAAAGAACGACGAGGTAATTTTTTTCTCAATTTTTTGTGAATTTTATTTTAATTTATTTTAATTTTTTTTTTTTAATTCCAGACGATGCTACTATTCGTGTCACAAACTTATCGGAAGACACTACTGAGAATGACATTCATGATCTCTTCCGCCGTTTCGGTAATATTTCTCGTGTTTATCTCGCCCGTGATCGAGAAACGAATGCTTGTAAAGGATTTGCATTTGTCAGCTTTGGACATCGCGAGGATGCCTCCAAAGCATTACAAGCCATTAATGGTTACGGTTACGATAACTTGATTTTACGAGTGGAATGGGCCAAGTAAATAAGTTTTTTTTTTTTCCTTGCTTTTCATGCTATGTTATCTCATTTAATTAATTTTGTCGTCATCATCATTTCATCATCATCATCATTGTAGGTCTTCTACCTCTTAATAAGTCATTATATAATTAATTTTCACTTTTGGCAATAAAAATAATTTTTTAATTTTTTAATTCTTTTTTGTAATTAATCTTTTTTAAGAAAAAGAATATATATATATATATAATTATATATTAATATTATATTTGATATTATATTACAATTTTTTTTAAAATATTACGAGAATAAATTATTCCTTACCAAAAAAGGATAAATTATGAATGAATTATATTGTTATTAATGAATGAATAAGGTCTCAAATTGACTTAATACCAATGTAAAAACTTTTCTAATTTAATATTGTTCGTTTTAAATTTCGTTCTATCTATTTTTTTCCCCTTACTTTCACGAAAACTTTCAATCCTTGCGTCTTCAAGTAAAAAATTATACCAATAAGCTATTAAATAGATAGTGCTTAAATGCCATAGGGCATGAGCATCTACAATTCCCCACCAAGGAGGAAAATCAAAAATTTCCAGAGACATTGCTAATAAGATCAAAGTTACACATACGATAGGTTTCCAAGCATCATCAGGTCTTTTATACCAATGTGATATTGACCAACCAATCCACAATAAATTATTTAACATTCCAACTATAACATTTGCCAAAATATTATAACCATAATCAAATTTTATAAAATGTAAATATGATACATGTGACACATATGCTGTCAAACAAATAAAGGCCCATAAAGTAGTTTGTTGAAGGTTACGTATTTGAAATATACGTAAAACTCCATAAAATAAAGAATATAAAATCGCAAGTCCAGCTGAATAATAATCCAATTTTTCTGTTAAAGGAAAATCCCTTGAATGATAAATAATTGACCATATCCAACTATTTATACCAACGTAAGCATAAATCAAATAAAATTTTTTCATATAATAAGGATCTGGTAAACGTTTTAAAAGTGGTAGATAACGATAATGCATATAGCCGTTTAATACGCTAAAAAGTACACTAGCAGGTTCTTGTATTCCCAGTAATCGATGAAAAGGCCATTTTCCATAATATTGATGAATTTCTTGATTGGAATGTATAGCGTGATCGGTTATCTCGTGCATACAATTATATTTACACTCGTCTTCACAAGTCCAAGCAAAGAATCGTAAATGTAAAGGTAAGGTAGGATTTTGTGAACATACTGTTGAGAGACACGTTTTAACACACGTCTGAAATTCTTCACTACGATCTCCTATTGAGGACAAAACTGGTGGTGAAGATATTATTAATAATAATATAATGGAAGAAAATAGGAACAATTTTGATTTTACAAGCATCGAAATCATTTTTGATAAAAAAAGTTGAAATGGGTTCAACTTGAAAAAGTGACGATCGTAAATAAATGTAGGAACATATTTGTTACACGGTAGAGTTTGATATTCACAGTACATTAATATCTTATCTTCATTCGGAATAATTCCCAAAACATCAAATGAGGGTAATTTATAAATGAACACAAATTAAGGAAATTGATAACACATCGCAAATTGAAAACGATTTCATTCAGTAATTCATACTTTCACACAAAACTGAACTTGAATCTCATATTTCTGTAAATCGGGGTCTTTGTGAAGAGAGAACGAATTTTAGTGAAGAAATATTAAGAACCATTTTGATCTTCCCTAATGCAAATAGAGAAAGTTACGAAAAACCATTCGCTGACTTAAATAGAGTTAGATTCCAATATATCTTTTTTCAAGGTTTCGTGTCATCAATGACGATTAATTAGGTAAAAATCAATGGTCGTTTTTCAATCATTTGTCATTAGAATAAAATTATTATTACTTTTTTGAAACATATGCAATGGAAAGTTAGTTTCTTACGGAGTTGCCTCCATATAGTTATAATCTCTTTTATAATGTCCAATAAAGTCAAAATTCTTAGTTTAATATGTCATTTGATCGGTGTTTCATAAAAAAAAAAAAATTTCAAACGATTTATAAGTTTATTCAATAAAAGAATGGAAAACCGAAAAAGGTATTCTTAATGTTCACCTTGACTCAACAATGATTATTCGGTTCCAGGCAAAGACGGACAATCGACAGTTAATTACGAGATTTTATGATAAATGAAAATCCTTTTTGGGAAAGTTACCAGAATTTCCCTTAACGTTAATGGCAACTACATATTTGTTACATTTGTTACACGAGATAAAATCTGGCATACGGTAAAGATCGGAGATTTTTTTTTTTCCTTCCAAAAAAAAAAAAATGACCTCTCGTGATGCTTCAAATCGTCTTCAATTTCTTTGGAATGCATCACATACATTGCTATCAACTGTTCCTAGTCTTTCGGCTTTTTACATGCAACAATTTAACCAATTTGCCGGTGAAAAGGAATTGAATCTTGCCGAAGCTGTTAAACGAAAATATTGTAGCTATTGTGGCAGTATTTTCCTTCCAGGTTTAAACAGCCAGATTAGAATTGAAAAAAATAAAAGGAGAGAAAAAAGAAGAAAATTAGTAGTTGACAATGTTAATAATACTAATGATGGCAATAAAAAAGTGATTTCGGATCACGATTTAGTCGTACAACTTGAAGGTAATTTATTGTAATTTTCTTTGATAATGTTTTAAACGAATCAATTTTAGTGAACTTAATATTTTATAGAATCAAATGTATTCAAACAAATTATGAATGAAAAAAGTCCTCGAGGAAAAAGACAAATAATTCACATTAATCCAAGATCAATTTCATTATCAAATAATCAAAAACAAACACATGTTAGACGTCAACAATATAAGAACCATATATCTTATATTTGTAATTCTTGTAATCGCGAAACAAGATTCGCTGGAAGTACCAAGAAAGTTATTAAACAGATTTCAAGTCCTAGCGATGATAAACAACGAAAAGAGGAACATCCCTTTAATGTCACCACACCGATTATTCCCCAAGTTTCCAATTTGTATAAAACATCAACATCAACAAATTCATTTATATCAGCTCAAGATAAGCTTCCACAATATAAGACAAAAAATACAAAGAAAAAACAAAAGAAAATGCAACTTCAACAGTTACTGGCCAAGGAAAAAAGGAAAGGCTCTGGAAAAGATGATTTTAACGATTCTTCGGATGGGTTGAACTTGTCAAATTTTTTGTCCGCACTATAATATAGTTGAATAATTATAAAATTGTTAATAAAATAAAAGATATACCAAATAGGATGAATTATTAGAGCCTACCAAACAAAGAGATTGATCTTCTTTTCCCTCAGCATCTTCCTTATTTCGCTATGGCGGATATATTTGTTGTTCCGGGGTTGTAGCTTTATTCTAAAATTTCACATAGATACCTTTAGTGTTACTCTATATGTCATGCTTCGCTTCTTGTGTTGTTGACATTACTTACCTTCTTGTTGTCATCATACGAATCAGAGTTTCCTTTTCCCATAGAATCTTGAACGTTTCTAGCACTTCCTTGGGTCGAAATTGTTATAGCATTACCTTGAATTTCATTGCCACACCAAACACTTTGGATGTTAATCTCGGTATTCGTCACTCATGTTAAGTTTTCGCAAATATCTCCAATTCTTTGCCAAATGGTAATCAGATCGTGTGCCCTTAAAAAAGAAAAAAAAGAATAGAGGTAATTAATGTTCCCAATCATAATGATGTTACTGATTTTCACCTCGTAACTACGTCGGTTCGGCACGTAGCCTTCAACAACAGACAAGAGCGTAGGTTACCTGATGCCCTAACACTGATTTAGTAAATTGAACAAATAAACACGAAAAAATTACCTTTTTATATTTATTTATAAGTATCTGTGCCTTTTCTTTCTTAATTACGTGTTCACTTTGAATAATATGATTAAAGATACTTTAAATACGAATGTATAAGTACTTGAAAAGGTTCCTCTTTATTTTCTTCTAAAAAATCTAAAATATTCCAATCGGTATGAGTTCGGTCAAAGTATCGGTTTATTTTATCTATTCTGTCCATACAGAAAATGAGAAAAGTGTATTCATGCACCCGTTATATATAAAACACGAATGATCAGCCGATCATTCAAAGATGATTATGTGTCACTCGCTTAACCCGCTTGATATCAGGTGATAAATGTGAAGAGTCTTTTATATTTAATACATGCGAGTGATAAAAAAAATAAATACAAGTGCAAGAGGTTTTCTAAAGCAAACAGACTAATCCGCTATACGGTACATGATGAAGTTTTTATGCTGTGCACTCTGCTTGTGCTAAGATAAAAAAAAATAATTTATTTTTGTATCACTTAGAAGGCAGAAACTTTGCCTGTATTCTAAGAATGACGTTAATTAAACGTAGAGTTACATGCTATTGATTATAGGATATCAAAACTTTTGGATGTTAGACAAACAAACTCCTTAATTTTTTGGATCCTTTTAGGAATAACGATTTCTGGTTTTTTGTCGTACCATTATCTTGACATATGCATCGTTTTTGCCGGTCACGGTTAACAATGTCTTCGAGTTTTTTAACATCTTTATACCAGCTAGTGTTATGAAACCGATGCTGAGCATCTTGCACCTCCAGCGTAATTCGGTATTTTCGAAAGAAGGCATCAAGCTCTAATCCGTTCAAGAAAGAAGGGCGATATTCGATCATAGGTTCCTCATTAAGAATTTCCTTAGCTATCTGAATGCATCTAGTCTGAAATTTGCGATTTTTCTTAGATTCTATTTTCTTTGTATATTCTTCTATAAGTGACTTTAATAGCTCAGTATTCTCAACTTCAAGCTCAGTATTCTTAGCCTTAAGTCTGACATACTTGGCATACTTAACCTCAAGTTTGGCATTCTCAGCTTCAAGCTTGGAAATCTTAACCTTAAGTCTAACATACTCAATGTTCTCAGCCTCAAGCTTAGCAATCTTAGCCTTAAGTCTAATATACTTGATGTCAAGCTCAGCATTCTTAGCTTCAAGCTCAGCTTTTTTAATCAAAAGCTTAACACTTTTTTGTTCTGATGAATTAATCTCAGGTTGCATAATATTTTGTTTATATAAGACAAGAATTATTCAATGTTGTGTGGCAAATGTAAAGACTTGCTTTATTAACACAAAATAAATAAATACAAAAGTTCAGGATATAGTCCACAATACATATTATTTTTTGATAATTTTTTTGATCCTAACCCTTTTGCTAGCTGGAGAACTATCTACACTAACACGATCCTTTAATAATCTAACAATTATAATACTCTTTTTACGTTACTTCAGGGTAATTTAGGATTATCTTTAAGTACAGACTTTGTGAGATTAATTTGGTATTCACTTCTACTTGTAGAGTATATACTCTCAGAAGTACAGTCAACTCTTGACAAAATGAACTCTATGTTTTAAACTTCAACTTCGCTATAAGATTATAGTAAAATTTTAAGAGATTTAATTAGTCAATTCAATTTAACAAGAGTATTTTTATTATATTTGTTCAAAAATTCATTATATCAAAAGTTCACTATATCAAGAGTTGACTGTATATATGATAAAATGCTACTCAATACCTGTGATCATAATATTATAGATATAGTTAAAATAGTCATTTCTAAATGCTTGATCTGCAGTAGGGTATCCAGAATTTCATGGTGTAATGACCTAAAAAATATGGTGTGATTTAATTAAAAGATATGATTTGATGCAATCTTAATGCTGAACAAAATTAATATAATTTCAACCAAAATTAATATTCATTATGCTACACAAACAAATTATATTTATTTTATTTATTGAAACAATACATTTAAACTGTAATTAACAAATTATAATTAATGTTACTACCCAAATTAAAGTAAAAAAAATTAAGCATCTGAATGTTTTCTTCTTTAAGTGCAATTCTTCTATCTAATAAAATATTTTTATAACTAGAAAAACTACATTTAACATTCACTCTAGATACTAGTAACCAAATATATACTAAAGCTAATGCACTAAGTTCTGGTAATAAATGTATTTTATTTCACCAATATATATCTAGATCTACTAATTCCTCAGTTGTTTTATTAAGTTCGTAATAAATAGCCCATTCTTATATTAAAGTGTTAGTAGGAGAATCAAATTCTTTAATAATCCTATAATCTACCATATTATAATTAACTATATTAGATTGAATAAATCTTGGATCAAAAAATTATATTGCTTTGAATAATGATAAAGCTAGATAATGAGGTATGTGTTTTTCGTACTTTTCATAAGCTGATGCAAAAGCTTTAGAAAATAATGAAATAAATAGATCATTATCATAATTTGTTCTTTTCAAAATTCATTCTATTTCATTTGAAATTAAAGGATTTCTTTTTCCTGACGAAAGAAAAGCTTGAAGATTTATTATTCATGAATAAACAAATGAAACTATTGCTTTATTTCATATTTTAAAGAATTCTAAATTATTAACTAACCTAAATAAAATTTAATTAACAATTAGTATTATTTAATAAATTTATATATTTAATAAATTATAATAATTAAATTTTTTCTTACTGGATGCAATTATATGTAATAAAATATATAAAAATTCTAACACATAAAACATTATTTTAGTTTTGACAAAAAAAATGAAGATCCTGAATAACTTTTGAATCATGATTGATAGAATATTAAATGTAATTAAATGAGAATATAAAGGTTTAATCTAATACAAAAATAAAAACTACGAATTCTACTGTGTTTTTATTGGTAATGGTGTTAAAGTAAGATCTTTAATATTATTTCACAATAAATGCTCTTTTCAACAAATTTTTCTTTTTGAGTTATAAACAAATATTGCTTTAAATTTTTGACTAATTTATCAACTAATTCAAATTTTTAAAAATCAATCCATATTTCTCCAATTAAATTAATAATGTGTGCTAAATAGCAATTATGCTTCATTTTTAATAAAAAAGGAGACAAGCGTGAATAAGTTAATTTCATATACAAAGCATTATCAGATATAAAAAAATAATATTTCCGTAAGGAATATTATAAAAATAAAGTGTATTCATAACAAATTAGAAAATAGATAAAGCATTTATATTAGATAATAATTCAGTCCTAGCTAATTTAGTTTGATTACTAAAACTAAATAGAATATTAACAGCATGTCGATCATACTGATCTGTTATTTCATTAACTATTATACAAATAATTTTATCAGCAATATTATTTTTTAATTTTTGAAGTTCTATTTCATATGATATTAGAAGATATTTTTTATGGAGTTAATTTATACCAGTAATTAATTCTCCTAAAAATTATCATTAATTTATTAAATTAATTAAATATCATAAATCAAATAAAAATGGAAATTCATGTTATATACCATTTTTATAATATTTCAATAAAAATGGTTTAAGTTTTTTGATTTTTCTAAAAGAATATCTATAAAAGTAAAAGCTTCAACAACTTCAACGTTTATTATTTTTCTTTCATTCAAAGTATTTTCAACTAATGAAATTATAGTTTTTGAATTAAATGATTAGAATTATTTGTTTATTATTTTTATGTTTGAAAGTTTGAAGATGTTTATTTACAACAGATTTTACTTTATAATCAACTTTTACATTGCAAAACTGGCACCATAATATGTTTCTTTAAAAATATAATTTTTTTGATACAAAAAACTTTGAGATAAATGTATATGAGTGCTAACTATTTTTATAAAAAAAGAATAAAGAAATAATCATTATTTAAAAAAAATAGAAAAAATAGTAATTTTTAAATGATATAATCAACTAATAAAATTTGATTTACTGCAGATAGTATGAAAAATGTGAAATTTTACCAAAAAATGCAATCATACCAAAAGTGTGAAAAAATAGTAAAAAGTGCAAAAAAATGTGACTATACCATTCTGAACATCATAATCTGCAGTTCATTTTTTCTTGTTAGTTTAGAACATACTTTTAAGTTACATCAGATTCTAAAAAATAAATCATCATTAATGTCTCTAATATATTAAAAAGTGAAAATGTGGATACTAGATTAATTTACGCATATCTAATCTTTATATTGCATGATTTTTCTTTGATAATATAGAGAAGATCTTTCAGGCTTTTGATTGCGTAGTTTACTTAGCCTATTGTATTCTCACTAGAAACGTCCTTTTAAAACACTATAAATATATCTTGAAAGATATGCTTTTTAGCTATAACAATGAATGCATAAAGAATCAATGAAATAAATTTATAATGCATCGTCTCATTAACGTCAGTTATAGTTTTTACATTTAAAAGTTTTAAGATTATATCTTCTATACAATAATTAAGAAAGCAGCAGGAAAAGCGTGCAGACCAAATTATTTCACCTGAGAAGTCAAAAAAGATAGTTATCAAAATAAGTATTTTAGACCCTTCTTACTACTAAAATGATTACTTATTGATTTTGCTATTCTAAAGCTCTCAAAATATAATACTATTATATCATTAAATTTATATTCTTAGAATATACTTCAGTCTCTCTTACTTATTAAAATTATTAATTTGTTTTCTTATTTTTGTACGCCTTTCCAATTATAATCCTGTTATAATAAAAATTTACATTTAGTAGAAAATAAGTGCAAACTAAAGTAAATTGTTCATGAATCTCAAGAAGATAGGTGCATAAATAATGTACCTAATATTTCTCACTCATTAAAATTGCTAATTTATTTTCTTACTTATATATGACTTTCTAATCATAATTCTATAATAATAAAAATTTACACCTAGAAATATAATTTTTAGATATAAAAAATGGCTATCATGATATAAAAAAAATCAGGTAGTATAATATAAAAAAAAAATCAGCTATTAAGATGTAAAAAATAATTAGATAGCATAATGTAAAAATTTGGCTAACATAATGTAAAAAAAAAGGGTCAAAAGCACTTTATATAATATGATATAAAAAATAAATATAAATATTTTCAAAGATATACTCATGTAAAGTATCTCATATAG